TTATCACGATATCGTACATGTGTCTGCCTCTTCAGGGCGGGAGAGAGAAACAGATTTATATCTTTGTCTGTCTCCCCATCCATATGCACCAAATGATGTGGAGATCTTAGGAGAAAAAAAATTGGTATGATTCTACGGCCACTTGCTTTCATTTTAAATGTGTACTTTTTCCCAGTTAATGAAGTAAAGTTTAAGCATGTTGAAAAATACAATTACAGACAAACAATCTTCCAAAGTCCCCACATTAAAAAAAATGAATGCTATTGTACACGGTATCTTTTCTTTCTTTTGCAAGTGCATAGATGTGTGTATATATTTAGTTGAAATCATATCAAATTATATGTGTAATTCCAAACCTTGAATTTTTACTTTGAGCGTTTTCATGCCATCAAAAACTAATCATAAACATAGTCGTCAAAGGTGACATACGACTGCATTAATATGGGTCCACTAGAAGTTATTTAACTACGTCCTTACTCTGAACCAGCTTTATCCCCAATTTGTCCTTATCAAAAAGAACACTGGAGGAGACTTCCATGGGCGTAAATCTCTATTTCGGATGGTTTCCTCAAGACAGAGATAGAACGTTGTGGGGACAGGATGTAAACATCTTAACCATCTTGCACTTTGCTCATCGTCTTTTAGAAAGGCAGAGTCCATGTAACTCATGGCGTCTCCTCCCACCCTTGCCAATAATTACAACTTGAAAAAAATTTTTTCTTTTGCTTATAAGATAGAAACAACTTAGCTTATTTCACTAATTCTTTTTTTTTAATGTTTACTTATTTATTTTGAGGGGGGCAGAGGGAGAGAGAGGGAGAGAGAGAGAATCCCAAGCAGGCTCCACGCTGTCAACACAGAGCCCAATGTGGGGCTCGATCTCACAAACCGTGAGATCATGACCTGAGCCGAAACCAAGAGTCGGTCATTTAACCGACTGAGGTGCCCAGATGTCCCATATGTCACTAATTCTAAGATGCATGGTTTTCATAATTAATGTGTCCGAAATTAGGGATGGATGTGGATTACAATCAAGGTGGTGTTTTGTTTTATCTGACAGTATTCTCTTTAAGAGCATGTAAAAATCACGATGCGTCTTATAATTGATGACATCTCAGATTCAAGGAAACGCAGTATCTCATTTAATTTTTGATTTGTGTTTTTTGACCACTAGCAAATAGTCATGATTCTCATAGAATCATTTCAGTATATGCTGCAATGTCCCAGTGAATTGAAAAACAGTTTTTTTAATTGTGGCTAAAAAAACCAAAACAAAACCCATAAGAGGCACTTTTTAGGGATACAGTTCAGCAGTGTTCCGCGTCTTCACACTGCTGTGAAACAGATCTGTAGAGCTTCTTGATTTTGCAAAACTGCAACCCCACACCCACTGGGCAATGACTGCCGGCCCCCCTCCCCTGCCCCCCGAGCCTTTGGCAGTCATGATTCTGCTCTCTGTGTCTCTGTTTCTGATGACTCTGGGTGCCTCATGCAAGTGGAATCGGGCAGTATTTATCTTTTCGTGACTGTGTATTTCACGTCACACAATGTCTTCAAAGTTCGCCTATGCTATAGCATGCTGCAGGCTTCCTTTTTATGGCTAAATAGTATTCCACCCAGTGAACGTGTTAAATCGTAGACATCAGCAACGGCTGGCCGGGACTGCTCACCCACGTGGCTCTTTCAGCACACCCAAGCAGGTGCACAGCAAGAGATGGGCTGGGGTCCCAGGTGTCTCGATATCAAAGAGAAATGTTGACTCATTTTTTTTAAACTCAGAGATCAAAGGGAAATCAAGAAAATAGGTGATGAAGATCGAGGTATTTCTTAAATCGTACATACATACTGTATGACTGATCGTATTTTTTAAGACAATAAAGGTTGGATGTCACAATTTAGGCTTTATAAACACGTGCAGTGGCATCAGAACCCTCCACCGGCTGACTGCGCCCTTCCAAGTGTCCGGAAGATGGGCCTGAGTTCTTTCCACAAGCCAAATAATTCATATTTTCAATTCTGTGCTGATAACGGAGGTGGTGCACAGGGGTCATAGTGGCAGGGTGGAGTGGTTGGTCCAGGACACAGAGCCGAAGGGAGATACAAGATATTCCAACATCAAGTGTATTTACCCCGCGGTTGGTTACTTAGAACGTGCCATCATAACACGGATGAAAATTATACAGCAGTAGCCCGAATATGGGGCTCAATTACAGTTTTTCTATATTTAATAATACCGCTGATAAGATCTCATAATTTATTTAAATCCTCAAGTCCCAGAAAAGAAACTAATATTTTTATATGAGAAGACCTGATAGAAATATGGGTGAAAGGAACGCGTCGACAGTTGATCACAGAACTGAGAGAGCTATTGTGCCTCACTGTGCTCGTATCACCCACACACTGGTCCCCACTTGATTTCTCTAAAAGTGAGAAGGTGGAATGCAGTCTTAGAAAATATAACTTAAATACAAAAAGGAAAGAGTAATATAATGAAAGCCACTTTCCTACACTGGTTACAAGAGTATAAATAACATTTGTTGTTTTTTTACGTCTCATGTTATTCTCTGAGTTCATATATATATATATATATTTAAAATTTTTTAATGTTTGTTTATTTTTTGAAAGAGAGAGAGACAGAGT